TGGGTATAGGTAATGCATTTGTGTGAGGTATACTGATTGAGTGGGTACCGGCATACTGTGTGTATGTGTGTCTCTGTTGGACTCAGGGCATAAGTGGGTCTTGGGGTCCTGTGTGCAAAGGGGACTAGGTCCAGATGTTTCTGGGGGTCCTTTGTTCTCATTCTCTCTCACCTACTAATGCTGCCATTCCATCCTAACTTATAACTGAGAGGACATCAGTGTCTTCCTCCACAGGGTGCAGATTCCCCTAGTGAGTAGGACTTCTCATGTGGTAGCAGCTCCAAGGATCAGGTCATTTCTTTTGTTTTGAGTCCAGCAGGAAAAGCAATTCTTTCTCTCCACGGTCCTAATAAAAATCCCAGAAATGAGCCTCAGTGACTTGGTTTGGGTCATATGCCCATCCCTGAAATAATTTCTGTGGTCCAGGGACCATTGGCTGCTGACGGGACAGGCCTGAAGCACATGTCATCCTCTGGAACTTGAATGGGATAGTGCAACCTGAATCTTGTGCACTGATGGTGGGGAAGGGAGATCCCTCAAAGGAAAGACAGGAAGATGCTCCCAGAGGCTGGAAGCCAGATGCTGAGCAGTGCGCAAATGTGAATGCTTGAACTGGGAAAGGGACTATAAAGAGCCAACATGGGGTCTCCAAGAGCAAAGTCCTGCCTGCTGAACTCCTGCAAAGCTGGAGGCTCATGATTTGGGGGCTCTGCAAAGTCTTCCCATTAATTTTCATGGTACAGCAGTGAGATGTGAGTGGAATGATAGTGTAGTCAAAGGCTTCCAAGTGGATGAAAGAGCAGCTGGTTTATTGGCCTAGTGCAATATGCAACTTGGTCTCGAGTGAGGCGTCTCTAGGCTCTGTCCTTGGTCCTGCCTTAGGCACCTGCTCAGTAAGGGCTTGGTTGAAAGTTTATATGACTTCCTAATCTTATCCGGGAACTACAAGAAGCTAAAGGAAAAAGCAAGTACCTGCCTGACAGCACCCACACCCTGAGAGGTCTCCACATGGGAAAGAGGGATTAGATGTAATACAATGGAATGCAATTGGGATGGAGTTAAGTCTCTGCATTTAATTGTAGAAAACAAGTGATCCAAAAGTAGTTGGGGAAGACCCAGTTTTTGGTATCACCTATGGCAAAGACCTAGGGTGGTGTTACTCGGAATTCAGTCAGTCTTCAGACCCCTGGCAGCAGTGCAAGCAGCTGGTAAGGGTTAGGGGATTTGTAAAAGCACAGACTCCCACACCCCTCCTCAGATATATTGAATCAGAGCTGGGTTAGAGCAGGACCTGGAGATTTGCATTTTAGCCACCATCACAGGGACTTTGGTGCCTCTCTAAGTCACTGATGGCCTCACCATAGGATCTCAGTTCCCCAGGTCCAGGAGTGTTAGCAATGTGATGACATTAACCAATAGCTGATTGAGACCTCTCTTCTGCATCTGGATATGCAGGTAGGAGACCGAGACCTGCTGGTTCCCTTTAGAGAAACAGCCTGGCTGGAGAGCAGCTGCCAGGGTGAGGGATATCCAAAACAGGGGCCTGGAGTCCTGCTGCCAGCAACCGAAGCAGAACTGTTTGGCCTAGAGAAGAGGTAAAGCTTTGTCTTCTAAAGCTAAAGTCTTCCAAAAAAAAAAAAAAAAAAGGCAAAAGAGAGAGCAAACATGCATGCTGTGGCCTTGGAAGGTGAACCCAATGAGGGACTGATTCTTACTCCTTAGAGAGGAGACATTTCTGGCCAGCAGAGCAGTTCGAGGTGAAATCTGTGCCCTGCACTGTGATATTGCAAAGGGGCATCTGCAGATATTTGTTAAAGGGTTCTACACAGGCAGGGCAAGTTAACTTCCTCTCTTTAAGCCTGGGGCTTATGTGAGGGAGAGGTCTGAGGTCAAAGGAGGGCTTGAATCTGAGTAGAATCAAATGCAAAGGAGGAGGGAGATGCCAGGGGCCAGCCCACCTCTGGGTCTGAGATAAGCCCTTGTTTGGCAGTCCTCCAACCTGGATTCTTCTGCAGAATTCAGGTGAGACATCTACTCTCCCTTTCTTCAAGGGCATCATCCTCTTCCTGACATGGCTCTAAGCACCTCTTGGAAGGAAACATCTGAGCTGAGGCCCGAGTGACTACAAAGAAGCAGCCATGTGAACATCTGGGGACAGAGTGTTCTAGGAAGAAAAGCAAATGGGAAAAGTCTAGAGGTGAGGATGTGTTTGAATGCTAGAAAAACAAAAGGAAGGCCTTTCCGGCCTAGGTATAAATGAGGAGCTGGGACTACAGGCAGTTCTGTCATTAATGCTTCTTTCCAGTATTTCAGCTCTGCCTTCAAGGAGTATAGTAGCATTACACTTCCTGGCCTTCGTGGGTGGGGTCATGGGGCTAGGTCTGGCCAACGAATTGTGAGTGGAAGTGACATATGTCACTTCTGAGCTGAGCCATTGATTGCTGGAGGGTGTGTCTGGAGAGCTCCCTTTTCTTTTTCTTCATTGACCAACAGTGTTCCAGAGAGTGGCTGCTGTGAGTCTGGGTCCTTGAGCAAGAATGATGAGAAGCAATAGACACGTGATGGACAAATGGGAAACAAACCTTTGTTGATTTAAGCCACTGAGATTTGGAGACTGTCTGTTACGACAATCTAACCTAACCTATCCTGACTGTTTCATAGATCATTCTATTCTGGCTGAAGAGAGCAGGGCAGAGACAAATGGAGCAGGGCAGGAGACACTTTCTTTATCTGTTCCCCAAACTTTATTCTCAAACTCTAATCCCAAAACAGAAACTGCAAGAGGAGGAAATGTAAGGACAGGGATGTTGAAATGAACCACCTCCCCAAGGACCATCTCAGCTACCCCTGTAGTCATTGGATAAGGTTGGTCTTGAGCCAGCATGGCTTCTCCCTAAGCCTCAGTTACCTCATCTGTAGAATGGGAATGATAATGTTTTTATAGCAGGATTGCATGTGAGGATCAAGCCAAATTACAAATCCAGGCAAGGACATAGTGATGTCCAGCATGCAAGATTATAATGTCATCTTATACCCTAGCCCCAGCTCCAGGCCTTCATCCTTAATCACCTGCCTCTGCTGCCCACACTTATCCCTAATCATCTCCCCCATACCGTGGGCCCCAAATGTAGATCCTGCCACTGTTTCACCTTTCCTACCCACCTCTCTCCAGCAGGGGGTGGAGAGGAGATTATAGTGTTAGCAGGAGCAGCTTAGGTACACATTGTTCTCTCTCTCTCTCTCTCTTTGCTTTCCTCTTAACTCTACTATATAAAAAAAAAAAAAAAGAAAAAAATCAGTCAAAGCTCCAAGTGTGCACCTATAGACCAGGGAGGGTTTCAGCATCAGGGAGGCAATGGGCAGCATTGGGCAGATCAGGTCCCCCTGAAACAATGTACTTTCAAACAGCCCTCAAAGCAGAGGTTGGAAACCAGAAGGTGGTGGATATTTTTATCTGTGAACACAAGAGGTTAAAAATTATTTTATTAGTTAAAATTTTTAAATGAGGATATTTCTCATACAGAGGCTTCTATTGAAAATTTGGAAGATCAGGCCATACTGCCCCCAATCCCATCCCTCCACAGCTGATACCTGGAGCAGAAGAGACAGCTGTCCTTTGAGATGAGATCTCTGTGCCCTGTCCACAGCGCTGCCCATTGTCTCTCTGATGCTGAAGCCCTCCCTGGTCTATAGGTGCACACCTGAAGCTTTGACTGATATATATATATATAATATTTTATATATATATATATATATATATTAGAGTTCAGAGGAAAGCAAAACATTTCTCATAGCCCTTCTCTATCAAAAGTGGGAAACAAAAGACAGACCGAGAGAGGGCCTCGTGTCTCAAGAAATAAAGGAGAGCTCACATCTCTTTGTGGAAGCAAGATCATTCCTTATATATCGCCTAGCCTGCAGCAGTAATTTATATTATCTACCGGCCCCATGGGCGTTTGAGTTTGTAACCCTGCCCTCGCCCTTCTCATTCCCCTCCCGACCCAGATTAGGACCCTCTCTTTTCCTGGTCACTTGCCCCAGGCACATGGAGCGCGTTTGTCATTTTCTTTCTCCTTCAAGGCAGCCAGCCCTCTGTTTATTTTAACGAGATTAGGGAATGGGGGTGGGGAACAGGAGACTCCAGCAGCGGTCACTGCTGGAGGCTCCTGGAGACGACTTGATTTGCCCAAGGTCACAGAGCTAGAAGCCAAAGTCACCTGGACCCTTTCTTAGGTGTCGCTAGCTCCCAAAGCCCAGGTCTTTTACGCCCACGTCTCAGGCACCGTGCGCTCTCGGGTCGCAAACAGCGCGCTCAGTCAGATGCGCTGAACCCTATCGTTGTTTTCCTTCAGTGAACTGCGAGGAAGGGTTAGGGAAGCCTCGGGTCACGATGTGAGGCGTGCCCCTGAGGCCCATCAGGCTGCGTGGTTGGGACTGCGGGTGTCCCCGAGTCTGGCCTGCTTAGCACGGGGGACGAGGGCACCTTTGCGCTCCGGCCGGGGGCCCGGAGCTCTCCCGCAGTCTGCTCTCCCAGCCTCCGGCTGCTGGCAGCATACTGTGGCGCGCTAACCGCCTCCAAGAGCGGCTGGGAGGCAGCGGGAGGGGGAGAGGACTGCAGCGGAACCTACCCTGGGCACCCCTGCCCTGGGCTGATCTCCACAGACTGGCGCCACGCGGTGGTCGCCGCAAACCTGGGCCCCTCCCAGGCCACCTGTGCGCAGACTGGCGGGCCCGGGAGAGCCTGGATCCAGGCAACTGATCCACTCCGGGTTTCAGACTCCTGCCCCTGTCCCTGGGGACCTCGCGGGGCGGTGGGAAGCCTCCCCGCCCACCACCCCAGCCCCTCCCTGGGGGAGCCTCAGGCATCGCCCGGAGGGATTCTTGGTGCTAGGGGTGGCCCGCGCACTCAGCGCCGGGCGGCCCGGCCCCTCCTTCTTCCCCCCGCCCCTACCCGCTGCCGCCCCGCTCCGCTGCTCCAGTCCGTGTTTTGCTGCGCCCGTCGGCCCGCTCCCCGGCTGCGGGCTCCGCGCGGCGGCTGGCTCCGTGCACGGCGCGGCTGGCGCTGCGCTCCGCCCCGGCTGCATTGCTGTGCTCCCGGTGCCTAGGGGAGGCACGCGCCGTGTGTGCCACGCAGCCGGCCGCCTGGAGGCAGCGCAGTCCTCTGGCATGGGTCCCGGGGGCGCCCCGAGCCGGGGCTCCGGGTTGAGGCGCTGAAAGACGCCCTCCCGCCCGCGGGGCCCGGCGCCCGGCCCGCCCGCCCGCGGCCATGGCCGTCCGGCCCGGCCTGTGGCCAGCGCTCCTGGGCATAGTCCTTGCCGCCTGGCTCCGCGGTTCAGGTGAGTCACACCGCGCGCGGTCCAGGAAGGCTTGTGGGGGACTGTGCGCGTGAACGCTCTATGCTCTTTGCGGGTGGGGGGTTCCTGACCCGTGCTGCCGGACACGGCTGGGAGCCCCCCGAGGCCAAACTTTGCGAGGCGGGACGCGGGGGCCTCCTCTCATTGCTGCTCAGCTTCCCCGCGCGCTCTCCCGGAAGCCTGGGTTCTGCCAAGTCCAGGAGCAGCTGGCAGTGCGCGGGATTGACGAGTGTAGACGCCCCACTCCTCTAGGTGGGGGAAGTTTGCTGGTTGCCTATCCCCGTAGCAGGGTCGGGGGTTGGATCAATCCCGGGAACCCGACTTTAAGGGTTCAAAGATTACAGGGTTTTGACCATATCGTATTACCCAGGAGAGGGGGAGAGGATTAAGATACCTCTTCCCGGTAGCATCAGCCCCAAACAGCCACTCACAATCTCGCAGCTTGGCACCTGGCCTCTGCCCACGTCCAGAACACAGTGTCCTCCTCTGTCCCCGCCACACACGCTCGCACACGCACACACTCAGGCGTGGAGGCGCATACACCAGCCCCCAGCCCTTGCAGCCAGCACTCTTAAAGCTCTGCGGTCCCTATGGCGGGGGCTGTAGCTCCTGGCCTCCCTGGCTTGGGGGCGGGGGGGGGGCAGAGTTATGTGCGTTTGTTCTGCATCTGCATCCTCGCCCTTCTCCCTTAAATTCCACAGCCCTTCTTCCTCCCTGCATGCCCTGCTGGCCACCCCAACCTGCTGGTAACTCAGCCCATCTCCTTTCTCTTAGGTGAGGGCTTGGGGGAGGAAGTTCCCCTATATCCTTTGTCTGCTCTCCCTGAGCTTCCACCTAGGCTGAGCTGTTGGGGCTTCCTGATCTCTGCTTCCTGCCCCCCCCCCCCCCCCCCCCGCCATGCACTTAGCAGAGCTGAGCTTATGTGTGTTTGGTGGTGTTTGTTTGGGGGGTGCCATTTGTGTGATCAAGGGGGTTTGGGGCTTGCCATAAAAATTCTCTATTCTTGCTCCCCTTGGAACCTGGGAGATTGCCCCTCTACCTGGCCAGGCTACTGCTTATCACAGGGGTGTCAGAAGGGAGTGTTGGGGTTCCTGAGCTGCCAAGCTGGATTGATCAGAGATCAATGAGTATGAGCTCAGGGACCAGCCTGATGATTGTGGCTGATGGCTGTTTTTTTAAAGGGTCTCTCTGCGCAGCACATCCTGCACTGGCCACTGCCTGACCACCCTCCCCATCCTGCCCCCTCAGCTTTGCCTCTGCTCCATCTCACCCACACTGTCTCCCTTCCTCATCACTTCCCAATCCTCCTTTAAGGAATCTTCCCTTCAGCCTCTCCTTCTAATCCTGGCCAAGTTAGGAAGCTGAATTGCCACTGGGTGTGTGCATGTTGCACACTTGTGCTTCTTAGGGATATATGTGCAGCTCCCCAGATGAACACACAGGGGGTACAGGTTGCACCATTAACTATGGTGAGCTGGGGGTGTTGACACCTTGTACAAAAGGAGATGTTGCCAGACACCTAGTAGGTGCCCAGGCAGTGTTTACTGAGTTGGATCTGTGTGTAAGGGCTATGGTCATAGCTGCATGTCACCCATGTGAGCACATGTTAGGGCTGTGGGTTGACACGTGTGCCCTGGTGGTAAGGAGGGTTGGCATGGCATGTGCACTATTGGTATCTGTGTGGCCAGATGAGTGTGTGTTCTGGCTGTGTGCAGTTGCACAGGTGAGCACATACAGATAAGGGTAATAGGTGCTGCTGAGCTAAGACACCACAGCCTAGGGTGGGGGGTTGCCATATGAACTGTCAGGAGACCATGGAGTTGGGGAACCATATCTCTGGTTGTTGTGGTACCTGTTGGGGCCTGACCCAAGGTTGCCCAGGGAGCTGGCCAATAGGACCAGAGCAGCAGACTCCCTAAAGCTATTAGGCCTGTAGAAGGAGCTGCTGAAGGCCATGGGGGGAGGGGCCTTGCTTCTCTGAGGCCACTTCTCACTGTCCCCCACAGGCTCTGGGCACATGTGGATGCCAGGCAAGCTGGCCCTGCAGTGACCCTGGCTCCTCCCACACCATGAGCATCTCCTCAGCCAGAGCCCTAGGTGAAAAAATGTGTTTGAGAGGCTGAGAGAGGGACAGCCAGCAGGCAGCAGGGGGCGCCGGGGTCCAGTTCTACTGACTGCAGCCGCCTGCTTCCCCAGGCCATGTGCCCACCCTCTGCTGCTGGGCATCACACAAAAACCTGTCCCTTCAGTGCACTTGCACCCTCAGGCCCTCTCTTTGCCCCTGCACAGCACCCACCTGTCTCACCAGACTTTCCCACTCAAAGCCAGCACCCACAGCTCACAGCCACACACCCTCACCCGTGGTCTTCCTACCACTCAGACCTCTGCACTCTTGAGGGGAGGGGCTTGAGGCCTGGCTCTCCTGGAAGGTGGCACTGAGGGGCATCCCTCAGCTGTCCATGTTCCTTTTCTTCAGGGCCCTATCCCATCCTCAGGCCTGGCCTGGACCCCTCTGTCCACCTGCCACCCCTAGCAAAGGTGATATTGAAGGGAGGTCTTAATTCTCTAGAGCTGAGATACTCTCTTCTTGCTCACCCCAACTTACTGATGGGATGGGCTGGCTTTGGGGCCCCGGGGTGCCCCCAGGGAAGAGCTGGCCTTCTGACTGGCCTGCCCCCTTGCCTCATGTCAGGAGGGGCTTCCCCCAGGAACCAGGAATTGATGTTGATGCTGGTACTAAACCCCCAACCGAAAGGCACCAGCCTGATTCCTATGAATAGCCAACCTGGGCCTCAGCTAGGAGCCAGAGGCTCCTCCAGCCTCACATACCTTCTTCCTGCCTGGTGCTGCTCTGCAGCTTGCCCTGGTGTACCCCTTCTCTAGGTGAAGACCTCAGTGCTAGGCTTAGCTGCTGCCTAGGGACAGGTGTGTCGGGGTGCATGCCTGCAGGGCCTGGTGATTCTAGGCCAACCTTCTCCTATTGCCCCTTTTCCCAGAGCCCCCCATTCTCCTCCCCCTGTCCCTGAGCCTGGGGCTGGAAACCTTAGCGTCTCCCTTGGCTCTCCCTTCTCCTTCATGCTTCACATCTAATCTGTCACCAAGTCCTCCAGCTCCATTCTACTTGTGACATTGCTCTTTTGTGCCTCACCTCCTTTGTCTCCTCCCACCTGCCACCCCTTTCTCCTTCACCTGTCTCACCTGCACCACAGTAGTGGCCACTCCTACCCACCCCCTCCTACACCTCCTGAATTAGACTAAGTCCCCTGGCACCAGGTTGGACATCTGCTCCAAGATTTCTGTGACTCCCAGTGCCTGCAGGTGAAGTCCAAACCTTTACCCCTTTGGGCCCTTAGGGAAACACTAGGTCCTCTTACTGCCCTACATCACTGGGCTGGTCCCCCAGGGCGGTTGAGTACCCCATGCCCCTGGCTTTGACTGCAAGTGGGCTGGGCACCCCGAGGCCTGCTCTGGCTACCAGTCTGTAGCTCCCTTGCCTTGCAAAACCTGGTGCTGCCTGACCCCTCCAGCGTGCCTCCCACCCAACACCCCAAACTCCCTAGCTAGGTCCAGGCCTCGGCCACACCCCTTTGCTGCTGCCAATTCCTATACTGTCCTGCTCAGCCCCCCATTTCAGTACAACTCCCTCCTAAAGGCCTCCCCAACTCCTCCCCCTGATGCACTTTGGGTAGGCTAAAGAAAGACAGACTGACGGACTGATTCCTCAGCCCTGGGGCAGCTGCCACAGCCTGTGAGTCTAGCTGTCTCTTCCCTCAGTGCTTCCCACAGTGGTGCAGTTCTCTGTGGCACTATGACCCTGCTCCCTGTTCCAACATGTTCCAAGTTACAGCTAGCCAATTGCTTATTGTTTCTCTTTGTTTCCTCCTTTGACTTGGGTTCTCTTGCCAGGAAGGGAGGGCTGCTCTCACCTGGGACAAAAAGAGAAATTTGTTCTGCTTTCCTCAGCCCAGCCCAGCCCTGTCCCTGGACTAGACTGCCGTGCTCCAGAAGGCTGGAATTGGCCTCCTGTTCAGCATGGGGATTGGTAAAGCCAGACACTATCCTATGTGTGTGTGTGGGGGGGGATTTACAGTGTACCCTTGCCACGCACATGGACAGCAAAGAGGCTCACGTGAGTATGTGTGTTTGTGGGTCACTCATACAAGTTGTTTGCCCATGTCTATTGAGTGGGAACCCACCTGCCCACCCTCATCCCCAGCCTAGCATAGATTTCCCCAAAGTGGGTTTTTTCTCATGTCATTCATAGTGTTAGCACCAAGACTAGGCCTGCTGTGCACAGCACGTGAGTGGGTCTTCTGGGTCCTGAGGTTAAGCCCTGGGCCTCAACTGCCCTCAACACCCAGATGGGAGTTGGGCTTCCTACAGTGATTCTACAAGTCCACCCCTTTGCTCCTCTTGCCTGCTCCCATAGGGGTGGTTTTGGAGGGTCCTCCTGCCTTTTGGGGAGCCTTAATCCCCGAGTACTGCCAAGCGGAGTGGAAAGGGCAAGGACTTGGTAGATAGACAGGGCTGGCTTCCAATCTAAGCCACATGTCCTTGGACAAGTGATTTTTACTCCCTAGCCTGTGTCCACATTTATACAATGGGTCATGTTTGCTTCCTGGAGTTATAGTAATGAATGGATGGGTAACATGGAGAGACACCCATGATGGACCCCAACATCCAGCAGGTACCCATGGCTTATTTGTCTCTTTCTTCAATTTTCCCTTGCCTGTGAGGGTGCATGAGTCAGGACAGAGACGGAGACTTAAGCTGTGATAGGGCCAAAGATAGGAGAAAAAAGAAGCTCAGTGTGAGCTGCTTCATTTCTCACTGACCTAGTCCCAGACAGGAGTCCAAGAGAGGAGTCATTGCTCTAGTTAGAGGAAGCCTCCCACCCCCAGTCTGCACATACACTACCCGCTGCAAGGACTTTGGTATGATTCAGGCACTATTGCTTCCAGTGTGCATTGGGCAGTTGTTTG